TCAAACCATTGGAATTGAGTAAAATTTTGCGTTTTGTGCTTTGTTCTTTACAATATTCATTATGGTTATGATTTTAATGAGAAAGGGGCACCATTATGAAAGTGGAATGAACTCAGTTGCCTGAAAAGGGTAGTTTGAACATGTGTGGCCTAAATAAGCTAAACCCCCCTCCCTTACCTTATTTAGGCCATATGTGGCCTAAATAAGCATTCCCAAATATTTTAGGTGTGTCCCACGCGCTCATATGACCTTATGCAGTTGCGAGCGCCGTAAAACACTTTACAAAAAAACCCAAACAAAAACAAAGGCCAATGGCCTTCATAAAATCCAGAATTCTGTTGGGATCAACGTTGGGTAACAGATCTTGCAATTTTTTGCATCTCTAAAACATTTTCTTCGGGTCTCTTCGAAGTCTAGACATTCAGTTAAAATACGTGTCTCAATAGTCTAATGGTAAAATCTGTGTCGCATCCAACACAGAACGGTTTCTCATCTCCATGAAGGAGGTATTTTTATCATATATGCCAGGGACGTGTGTCCGATGCGTAACCGAGTAAAAATGACTTCGTCTCTTCTGAAGAGGCCCGAAGGACTTCGCAGTCTCAGTTTGGGCTTTAATTTTAAGAAGTTTGTTGTCTACTTGCTTTTTTTCCCCAAAAAAGTCTCCCACAGACTGGAGGAGTACTTATTAGGCCTATACATGATGCATGTTTTATTATAAAGTAGGCCAACATGGGTGCGCATGATGACGTACGTGAATAGCACAAACCTGCTTAAAATTGGAGAGACAGAGACTGATTCAGGGTACCTATTTGTGTAACTAGAGTGTGGGTGTAATTAAATTAGCCTAATTACTCCGTGAAACTCTCTACTGTCTGCATCATACATGACATAAGTCTAAACTGTTTGTTTTAACAGAGTTTTGCCGCCCTTGCAACACTAATAAAATAGGTCTTCTAAGCCAAATATTATAGGGTATTAGTATTACAAGAGAGTAAAAAAATACAAAAAACAAAGAGACAACGATGACAGATGTTTGAAATGAAGAAAGAAGGAGCCAATCATTACAAGTAAGAGCATCCACCAACCAACCACACATTAATACTGTGCTAAGGAGAGGAATTATTCCAAGAATAACCACAAACATATTAATAGGCCTCTTTTGGATTCGAACCTTCAACTTCAACGCCCATACAGCACAGGAGATCAAGTTCATAACCTGCTACTGTATCCCACAAAGGCCTGTCCGCATACCTGGGCCTACCGTTAAAGCAAAACGAACCAGCTCTTAACTAACATCCATCTTTCAAAAAGTATGAAATGGTATTTTTAATTTAGATCATTTTGGAGGAGGGCAGCAATCGACCATGCCAGACAGTCAAGTCAACCCAGTATGAGAGGGATACAATGTCCAAGAAGACGGACAGATAATCTATTTTAAAAAATCAAAATCTCCCAGCATGGGAAAGTGTGTAGGCCTAACTGTTACAGTACACCACAGACTTTAGCCTGCTGCTTTCAATTTCAAGTGTCCACAGCAAAATACGCAGAGTACTAAGACGCTTGAAGTTTTGGGGACATGTAAAACAAAATATGTGTAACCCCCCCACCCCGAACAAGAAGCTGGAGAAAAATTTTTCTTACCCACCAGAAATGGCATTAAAAAATTTAACGAAAAAGAAAATGCACAATCAAGATTGAACGTAGAACCACAAACATGAAAACACAGAGATAATTTAAAAAATGAACTCCAAAGGCAAAAAATACAGGTGATCAAATGAAATTTAAATAACCGGTATGGGAATCAATCATCAATGTCTCTGGGGCCTAAAAAACATATTTAACATTGTGGACATTCACATCAGACAAGACTTGGAGCAGCAGTCCAGTTATGAAATATGACGAGAAATCTAATTTAAAAAAAAATCTATCAAAGAAAAAAAATATTCGAAGAAGCAGACCTAGATTCTACACAGATAACACATTTTCAATCAATTTCAGACTAGACCAAAGGGAACACTCCGACAATACTCATGATGCACAACTGAATGTCATACACGTAAAAAACAAGGGAAGCCTTAGAAAGATTGATGAGTAACTGTTGCTATGATGACAACAAAGTTATTAGCCTTCTGGACATCCTTTAGTCAATAAGACGTACGTGTAGAATTGATAGAAAATAGCAGGAAAAAATTGCATAATTTGCACAGGCTCATTTTCATTTTGACCGTACGAAACATTGACCCCAGCTACAATGCCCGATTGCCCTATTTTGACAACAGGATTATTTTTATCTTTTTTCAGTATGATCCTCTCTGTAATCTAGTGCTTGTGGCACCTCTCTGTTAAAAATCAACTCCAAGAGAAATACTTGAGAAACCTTTGCCAGTCTTCCCTGCCTAAAAACATGCCGTCCAAACATGGATTATTTCAAGTGTCAGTGTCCTGCTGGCATGAAAAAGGTTGCTATGACTTTTCTTTTGCTTTCATTCTCAGAGAAGATAGGCTTAATTCACAAGTTAAAAGGGTACTGCGCCTTGGAATGAAGTCGAGAGAGGTTAGATTAACTTAGAAAAGTAAAAACGACTAAAAAAGCGGATACAGGTACAAAATACAACGAGCAAGAAAATATAAGAGAAAGTACAGTAAATCTAAAAACCAAGAAACTTACAAGATCTGTATTATAAAGTCCTCCTGATAAGAAATTAACCTTAAAAATAGTCTTGTAACCATTACAACATGAAAACCTTTACGAAAGGAAAACATGGACCAAAATATAATAATTACAACATTAAATCCTTCATAAAAAGGGAAACTAAATGGAGCCAAAAACACAACATACAAAGAACAACTCTTAAAAAGTCTCTGATAATAGAAAACCAATAGACCAACAACCTTTAAACAGGGAGGTACACTACATCTTTAAGTTAAGAGTACCCAGGAAAAAGTTCCAAGAACAAAAAAAAAGGTTATCAATTTCAACCCTATCCGTACGTCGTGTTTTATTATCGTATACATACAACGTGGGGAATTCTGTCTGTGCCAACACTTTCCAAAGAGGAAATTCACTCTTTAATCCGATCCACACGCTTTGCACAGCAGTCTGTCAAAATGATTTTTCGAGAAGTACTGAAAGTTTCAAAGAGATCTTCGAAATAGAAGTATTCTAAAATGTGAAGAATACAACCCCGAGGGTACAAAATGACCTCACGGCGTACGCATAGGGTTAAAGCAAATAATTCTGCTGTTGTTGACAAAAACAAAAAAATTCCCATTTTGAATCTGACAGGAAAAAAAAAGACTATAAATTATTTCAAATCCACCGTGATGCAGTTTCCTCACAACAAATTTTATGAACTGCAGGAGATTACTGATGATAAAATAAATCTATGATTGCCATTTACGTATCCCCATATTTCCTGTAAAATTACCACAACCAGAAATTTTTTCACAAGTTTGCTTTCTATAATTATAAGGACAGAGGGAAAAAGTTGACACATCTTCAAACTATTTTTCAAAAACCTGAAATCCCCTTTGCACCTTTTATTTCTCAGAAACGGCAGAAATTTTGGTCAAGTCAAGTGTCAGTTCCTATTTAGACAGATACACTCTGATCCAGATTTTCCTTTTTTTTCTCTTCCCATATAGAGGTGTAAAACCCCTTTTTTTTGGACAATCTGATCCTCCAAAATCAAACTTGTTTGAATTGACTTCATGTGACAAAAAAAGTACACTTTGGTACCAAATACCATCACATGCAACAGCTGGAGTCACTAGAAAATCAAAAATACAGTCAAACACAGCCACCTTGGGATGAGCAGGAAGTCGGTGGCATAGCAGGGCAGGCAGTATAAGTAAGTCTTATAAATGCTTTCCTCTAATAATCTGTCCCCGTGGTTTTTATGCACCCTGCATAGTTTAGCAAAATTTGATCATTTTTTTTGGCATAATTTCAGATTATTTTCCTTTATCATTCTTTGTCAAAATCAACAGAATCATATAATTTCACATTTTTGGGCCAGTTTGCATAATTTCAGAATTTTTCTTGCAAAAAACGAAGGGGACAGAATAATAGCCCCGTCTGCCCAATACCAAGGGAAAAGATTTTCCAGCATGAACTGTTTCAAAAGTGTCTTTTTGTTGGTGAATTACATGTTTTAGAGCTGGGAGTCTCTTCTATCTTTGTGTGTGTACAATTTCAATTGAAAAAGACATGAACTGCAGGATCAGAGGCGTTTTGTCAAATACACGAAGCTAGAAATGGAAATCTAAGACCCGGCGTTTTGTCAAATACACGAAGCTAGAAAAGGAAATCTAAGACCCGGAATGGGGAGGTGGGACAAGCAGGGAGGGAGCAAAACGAGGGAAAACACTAGTGCCCAGAGTCGTATGTGGGAGAAAGAGAGATTTTCACCACGCAGCTGCCAAGTTGAGTAGACGCTATGTAAAAACAGTAGGGTGTAACTCTGGAAGCAAGTTCACTAGCAAAGTTCTGTGGCTAAGTATAGTATGGTAAGGAAATTCAGAAAGTTGGCAGACGGCAGTTCAAAAGGGCAAATAGTATTTACACAGACCTTCCTTTTTGTGCATTGGCCGAACATTAAAATGGTGGTAAACAGGGGCCTGTATAACGAGGTTTCACTTTTTGCAACAATGTGAACCTGATAATTTTTACTATCTGGTCTGTGCTCTGCAGTATACCATAAACTGGCTTACCACTCATACCTGTTAAACCAAGACTGGAGGAACTTTGCAGAAAATTAAGCAAACAATAAAAACACTCCCTGAGGATTGAAGCTTCAAGAAGGAGTAGAATTAAACGCCCAAGGCTTCAAACATTAAGGAAAAGGGCATCAAAACTCTTTCAATGATGGAAATCAAACAGAGAACAAAGCTTTTCACAAAACGTTTTCAAACAAAACTTGCCTTCTCTCACCATTCTCATAAAATATGCAATGATGCAGAGGAACAAGACAATTTAAGAAAGTTCATACTTTGCTTGGAACACATTTTGACTGCAACAAACTTTTTCTTTGTCACCACTTTCCAACTTGAAAAATTTGTTGATCAATTTCGAAACAATGTTTTATGGATTCTTCCCTTCAAACACCCAACCGTTAGAAACAACACATGACATCACCATCTACCCACTGTATTCTACAGCTGAACACACTTGAGCCTTTCAATTTGTACAATTACCACCACACAATGTCAAACTTAGTATCTGCACAACACCGCACATATAAGTCTAAAAAACAAGCCCAGGTAGTAAATGGTATTCAAGCCACTTTACAAACACCCAACCATGGGATCTCAAACAGAATTTCCCCCTTCTTCGAAACAGACTTACTGAAAAAGTAAGCTACACACATACGTGACCCCCTCCCCCCACCAACCTTTCATAAAATAAATACCCTGAAGTCCTGAAGAGAGAACACAGGCCAAAAACAACAAATTTTAATGACATAATGATTAAAAATAAGATCTGGCAGACACCGAAAACATGTCATTAAATCTTCAGAATGCAAGAATAGCAAGGATTAACCTTTTCCCCATGAAAGCGCTCTGAGTTTCCTGTAATGAAACATATAAAGTACACCTGACATTCACACATGATAACTAGAATGATACAGTGGGTGTCACATTCAACCAGAATTCGGCTCCAACGAGGCAATCCTTAATCCTCGATTTTTCCTCTATCTCTTCTTTGTAAATGTAGGTCAGCCCCAACGAGGTTGCAAACAGACCGAAGTCACTTTCAATGAGGTCGCGATAACCAAATAAAAGCAATTAGCGGCCCCAAAAGCGAAGAATTTTTATCCTTTCTCTCCATCTCACGCGAAGCACAAGGCCCATCCTCGATTCCTAAAACATTGCATGGTTAGATCTAGACATGCCTCCTATTACATGGGCCCCAAAGCCAAGAGGATGTGCGAGGGTTAGCCTCGGAAGGGAAGGGGTGGGTGGGAACGCAATGCGTGCTGTGTGAAACTGAATTAACACTGGATGGGCAGGTCTACATCGAGACCATTATTTTCCAATTTTATTTTCTTCACCTGAGCAGAAAATCCAAGTTCCCGCCTTTACTTTAAGTAGATCTAAGCCTAGAACTGAGAGGCTATGTTTCCACATGGGAAGTGATCTGGGAAAAAAGTATTTTAAAATGTAGAAATGACGGTCAGAACACAGCTCAAACACTAACACACTGATGCTGTTTGAGATTTCCGTCATCATGGGGAACATTTTAATTATTGGTATTGGTACACCGTGTAACATAATAACTTGTCTGCTTTCTTTTCTTTAGCCTTAGTCATGTTCAACGAGAGGTCTTTAATTTTTTTTTAATTACGAGAGGTCGGATCCAACGAGGACAACAAGCCGGTCCCAGCAACCTCGTTGAATGAGACACCCACTGTACTCAGATTTTGCAAAAGATCACAAAGTGAAAGACTTGAGCAATAATGTTCTAGACCAGGGTTGGGCAAAGTACATCCCTAAACACACTATTCCCTGCTGAAACATTCAATGAGCTTAAAGAAAACAAACAAAGTAAGCAATCCATAATTCTTGTAAAAGTGACCATATTTGTCAATGTCCTAGGGTTCTGACTAGTTTTTATGGCTATTTATAAATCTAAACCCTGTGTTCTGATGCTACTAGTCTTTTAGAGTGTTCTTTATTTTCTTAATTAGTAAAAAGTATGGTTATCTTGTGCATTGCACCAGTTTTAACAGGAGCGACCCGTAACTGTTTATGTGGCCTGTACAAAACAGCCTCAGACCACAAAGTTTGCCCTGCCCTGGTCTAGACAAATCAGAAAGTGAGGTAAAAGTAAAAGCCACGGGGCGACGGTCCTGAAAAGACGTAAATTTACAACAAAATAAATATATAATAGATACTATATTATGACTTTCATGGCCGTGACTCTGATGAATAAGAGGAAAATATCCATACTGGTCACTCAGTCTGATGAGTGAATTACCATGACAACGCTTTTCAAAGCACAGGCACAGTTTACTATATAATATCAAGTCGATGCCAAAGCATTTGCTGAGTAAATAATAATAAATTATAATGTTTCATCCTCCACAAACAACTAATTTTGAAGGCCAGGACTTAATTTTAAAAAATTCTCTTTTTATACACACATTTACTGTTCTCTCAAAGCCTGTAGTTTTAAATTGCGTTCATACACTTTATCCCTGTGACCTGGTTGGAGAATTGGAGAAATAGCATCACCGCACTGCTGGATGACACGGCCAAAGCGCTCCCTGTCCACAGCGTAGGACATCCACTCTCCACGCCGATCCTCCGCCCCTACCATGTGGACTGTAACCAGCACTGGATCAGCAGCAAAATGGACCTGAGTAGAAAGAGAAAGGAGATAAAAGCCAATAAAAATGTAATTATAACCCAAATATAACATTCTCCCACAACTGCTGACAAACAAGACCACCAGCTATGATAAAATATAACCTTTTTTTTTTAATGAGACATCAACATGTAAACTCTGCAAGTCTTTTAAAAAGCCTTCTCTGCTTCCCCATCCCAACTCCTCTGCCACCACTCACAGGTGACAGAGTGACAAAACATGATTTTCTACACTTACAGTCTTGCAAGACATCGACTATTTGTTCTGTAATTTACTGTAAACTGAGCTGTAAGTGAAATGAAATGTCCAGTGCAAGTCAAGGCAGACCAGCTTCTACTTCTAGATCATAAAATCTACCAACTGAACCCCCAAAAATGTATTTTAATTTAAAAATCTAGATCTAGCATGCAAATAGGCTGGCAAGATGCTGAAATCATTGTTACGTACAAATTACATTTTAAAAACAAAATTATGTATATAAACAAAAGAAAACAAATTCAAAATTTGAAAATCCATTCACTATGAGTGTGCAAGACTGGAAATGTAACAAACAAACCGAAAGTCCCAGTCTCATATTTGAGAGAAGCATCTAAACATTCTTTTGCCCACTCTCACTCTCAGCCTAAAACTCCCCTGCTGAGCCCATTGTTAATTGAAAACAGGTCTGAAATTAAATTTAAATTATTAATTTCTCATCTCTGTCAAAAAGAAAGAGGCTCTGATTTCGCTGAGAGTACTTTGCAAGTAAGTCCTTCTTTTCCCTCCATCTAAACTTGATGAGGTGATCTCACTAGCTCACAAATTTAGATTATAATACATTTTACTTAAATGCATAGGGACACCTACACACAATACTGGTAACCAAGTCAGTAAGTGAAGGCGAAGGGTGTGTGTGTACTTTTGACGCTTTGAGTTTAAATGTCTTGGCCAACTTCACTTTTAAACAAAAGGGAGAGGTTATTCTCACCTGCTGTGAAACAAAACTCGCTTTTCCTAATCAGCCTAATGGGAGTGTATACAGACCTGGTAACCGGGAACAAAGTCACAAAGTATACAGACCCGGCAGGGGAACTCTTTTGTAATTTCGAAAAGTTTCAGCGCCCTCTTGGCTCACTGACTCAGGGTAGACCTAGGTTCTTCTAGATCTATGGCCTAGGTCTAGATCTAGACAGACAGTAGACAGACATTATAAATCATTGATCTAGTTTCGAGGTTAGCCTAGCTAGATCTAAATGAAGATTGCGGATGTCTTTTCGATGAATGATTGTTTTTCCTCCGTTTTGGAGTTGGAGGAATCACAATTTGAAGAAAAGAACAATGTCATAATTTCAATCGAGCAGTGACCCTCTCTATTTCTCTGCCTCTCTCTCTCTCCTCTGTGTATCGCTCGCCTTCTCTTTTTCTTTGTTTGTCTCTCTGTCTTTCTCTCTCCCCACCTATTTCCCACTCTATCTTTCTCTCGTTCTCTCCTGCCAACTGGGGCATGTCATATATTACATTTTGCTAGCACTTCTCTCTCTCTCTCTCCCACACACACACACACTACCGGGTCTGGGCGGTAAAACTTTCCGAAATCACAAAAGAGTTCCCCTACCGGGTCTGTATGCTTCGTGACTTTGTTCCCGGTTACCGGGTCTGTATACACTTCGTTTCCTAATTTCTGAATACTGTATCGTATCAGTGTGGATGATCAAACTGACAAAAAACAAAGAAAAGTATGATGCTATAGCACAAAAGCACAAACTAATTTGGTCATCTACAAAGATGATACGGGGCTAAAAAATTTAACTTTTCGAATCGAGCTGAACTAAGCCAGTCGTCATTTTATTTTGTCCGGAAGTTCTCGTTTAAGCGAGATAGGGCAGTAAGGATTATCCAAAGTTATTTTGAACGCACACCGGGTGAGAATAGACAACAACAACAACAACAAAAAAAAAGCTCGCCCTCTCACCCGGAGTGATCAGCCTGAGCTATAAAGCACGAAGCTGTGAACTGTGAACGCACACCAGGTGAGAATAGCCAGCAGATTTGCCCTCTTAGGCAGAAAATTAACTGCCACGCACAACTAAGTGCATAGCGAAACGGATGAGCAGCTGGGTCGGAAGTGGCTATCCCATAGGGTAAGCGCGACTCTGCCCGACTATAAAAAAAAGGCACTGAGCAGGCGTATACAGTTCAGTGGTCGCCCCCCCCCCCCTTATCTCCACGGCGTCCCGGTCAGTCTTACCCCGGGTGAGAGGCCTACAACTGCGCTATTCTCACCTTGTGTAAGAAAAGAGGTGGCCAAAAAAACAAACAAAAACAACAAAATTACAAGAAACATACCTTCGTATTACAGCAACAGGAAGCTTCTGAGATGGAAGAAGTGTCAAGGTGTTTGGAACAGGCACTGGGATAATGCTTGAGCCATTTGGCATTGATGAGTTTCAGATCATCATCGTTGTCTTCAGAAAGCAGGGACTTTACATCATTCTTGCCCGCCCAACATTTTGGGGTACCCGTATCGGACTTGCTGATGCTGTTGGCACAATGACTTACATTATTGTCCACATAGAGACGAGGGCCAAAAAGTTTCAGCTGCTCTTCTGTGAATGACAAGGCTACAGTAGGAGAAGACGAAAAGTCAATACTGTCATCACAGCTGTCTTCGTCAGTAAAACTGGTATCTAATCGAGAACAGCTATCACTGTTTCCAGGAACACTGGCCACCTTTGAGTCTTTACCCTTTATGGCTATGCTACCAACTACACCAAGTTGTGAAGATAGTGAGTTATCCAGGTTGTCTGACCAATCATCGTCATCATCACTGAAGCTTGCATCATCAGAGTCCGAGGCATCACTAGAAGAACTTTCTTCTGACCTCATGGAAAAAATGCGAGAGGCAAGACCACCAAATTGAGACTCGGGAGCTGGCGAGCCAGAAAACGTGCCTAGGGCTGAAAGACTGTCACTAAAAGAAATACTGGTATGTGATGATCTGACTGAGCTGTTATCTTCACATTTAGAATCAGGAGAAAAACCACTCTCTCCTGACGAAGGCTGCCTATCACAGGGTGAGCTTACAAAAACAACAGAAGAATCAGATAAGTTGCTGTGGACCTCATGCGACGACTCTCCAACAAGTGATTTACTATCTGCTTGCCTAATCTTTTCACGCCTTCGCTTTTTCTGTTTCTTAGACGATGGACGGCCTTTCTTTGTGCATTTCTTTCTGTCAAACAATACTGAAGAGAGATCACTCAATAAATTTGTGGCTGAGCAGCTAGATGCATCATTTTCTTTATTGACAGTTCTCATTCCATCCTCAGACAGGACAGTGCTTGTTACTCCACAACCCGGAGAAGTAGTGCACACCTCTGGAGGAATGTCTGCATTGTTATCATCAAAATCAGAAATCACTACCCTGTTTCCATCATCACAGTTTGGCTGTGCAAAATGAGCATATGGCACTGAATTTCGACTACACACATGTCCATTTACTTGTGAAATCTCCAATTTTGGTTCTGTCGTTTCAATTGCTGCATCATTAGAGATTTCTTTTAGTGGGGCTACATTATCATGTGCACTGCACCCACTTGTTTTCTTGAGTTCTTTACACTTCAGAGGAGAAACATTACAGTTATTCCTTCTGTCGCTACACTGGCAACACACATCAGACAAATGTGCATTCCCAATTTTACCGCCATAGTTTCCAGGTAAATTTGAAGGAAGCTGCACTGAGGCACCAGTACTCTGATTCATGGGGTGTTGATGCCAATGAAAATTGCCTTCAACAGTCTTCGGAGCTCCAACAGAAACCTGTGTAGGCTCTTTAAAGGTAAAACTGTCTGTTCCTGATGGACTCTGCATTGCTTCCACCATCTTCTCCATGACAAGACTTTTGATCAAAGTTGGGATGACTTTGTCTGTAACAGCTCCAGCAACATTTTTCATATCAGACAGAAGAGGCATATTCATTGCAGTTGCAGGAGAATCGAAAGAGGAACTGAGGGTGTGTTGAGAGACTGGGTGACTTCCAAGACAATCATGGTAAGCATAAGGCACTGATGAAACTTCTGGTAACGACTTGGACTTTAAGAGCTTCGGCGTACTTTGGTAACATGGTTTTGGCATCTGGGTTGAAATAAAAGAGGGTGAAGCTAAAGACTTTTTGGGAAATGAATCCGCAGAGTGACAGTTATGGAGTTTTAATTTTGTAGGAGAACTGTACTGCTTAGCAGAATTCCTTTGTGGAGTGTTCACAAAATTTTTGGAACTTGAAACCTCTCCAATACTATCAAGGCGAAGGAGGGGTGTTGGGGATGGCATCTTATTATTTAGCCTTGCAAATGACTTTACACAAGCAGATCCACTTGAAGTTGAAATACCACTTTTCTGACTCCAAAAGTTCCTGTTATTATCCATATCTATTTTAAAGACATGTTCTTGGAACTGGTCATTCCCAGCATCAAAATTCATACCTTGATCCTGAGAGCTCATAGACGAGGGGTTATACACAGATTCCCCCTTTTTATTTGGGCTTGAAGCGCGCCATGCGAGCCCCGCTTTCTTCATCACACGGCGTCACAAGTGACAATTGACAAGGAAACCACAAGATTGTGAGAGTTGACGGTTACTTTAAAAGTTCTGAAGTAAAGCAGCCGTCACAAATACATACAGTTCGATGGTTTGAACAAACTGGTGGTCAACACAAATGTCCTTGTTGAAACTGGAGATATGTTTTTACTTGTGAATTCTTTACTCCACTGACTTTTCCGCTTCACTCGCTTGAATTTGTTGGGTACCCCACGGCTATGACTATGAACTGAATACTGAAACTGTGAATCTACACAAGGTTGAAATCCCGCGGAATAGATGGCTATAGGGGTGCTTGCGGTGACCAATTCTTTTTCAAACATGTAGTAGGATGATGACTCCATAACTAGTAACTAACTAAACAGAAATATTCGGTTGCAGGTGGTTGAAAATTAGGCACCCAGGACCGTCAACACCGCCATGTTGTGAGTTTCCGAAGAAAATTTTGAGCAGTAAAAAAACAGCCTAACCACTATCTTTACCGGAACTTCATACGTACGCACGTCGAACATATTTTTATGAAAAAGCAGGCAATAGATCTACTTCTGAACAGGCATATAAGTTGACCCAATGAGATTATAAACATGCATATACTTGATTACAAGTTTGTAATGGGTAATAACACAAATATGACTTTCTAAAATATTGCGTACTTTTTGTGCGTATGAATAACATTTGATGTTACAATTGACCCTTGACCTAGTTTGATCGGGGGGATTGCATCAGAAAGGCGTTTGTTCCAGGGGGTGGATGATCGCGTCGTGTCACCCTGACTATCACGTAACTTTTTTTTTTTATAGGGCAAACTGATAACATGCTAGGCTACTGAGAGATAAAAGAAATCTTTACTTTTAAGATCTAAAGCACTGAGAAACTTGTGTTCACGATAGAGAAAACATAGACTATTATTGAAAGCAGACTTACCACTCTCAAGGTGCAAACTTTCCTGGTCAAGGCGACTTTTCCTCGATGACCATTAATTCATGTACCGGTACCGATACATGTAATAATACATCATGTACATTCCGTTTTGTATCCCACAGTAAAATTTGGACTACCGAAAGTTAATCCTTCGGTTTGCAAGAATTATATTGCACAAGCGAAATTCAGGTTTTATGTATAGTGGAAGACTAAGAAAGCCTGAATTTTTGGTTCTGATGAAGGACCACAGAAAAGAATTGCAGTAATATATACATAGGGCCTACTGTCACCTGGCATTATAACACCATCGAGAAACTTGGAATTGAAATCCTCCCCTTTGAAATTTAAAATAAGTCATATGAAAAACGGCTGCCTCTCCTTAGGATGCATGGTCATTTTTCTCTGGAATATCAAATTTTGTTAAAGGTGCACTCAATATATACCGCTTCGACCCCCGCCCAAACAAAACAAAACAACCACAAAAAACGATAACAAAAACCCAAACTACTACATAAGTATTGAACAACCTATTCGATGCCAATATGAGAGGGAAATCATAGCGAATAATATTATTTGAATCAGTTACAACTCTGAACACACGGTGTAGGTAAACAAAGCATGCACCAAAGATACCAAACAACTCACAAGCACACGCACACCTCACAAACACTATAGCACAAAAAATTAAATGCAAACATACACACGCAGCATATGCACGCACGCACACACACACACACACACACACACACACACACACACACACACACACACACACACACAATAGCTCCCAAACCTCCAACTTCTCTCTCTCTCTCTCTCTCTCTCTCAGACACACAAACACACACACAAACACACATGCACACACACGAACACACGCGCGCACTTCTACACACAGCATCGTGCGTGTACATGTAGTCACGTCATCCCCGCGCCGGGAGCACGCGCGCGTAAACTAACAACAGGCGTCTCTCTCTTTCTCTCTCTCTCTCTCTCTCTCTCTCTCTCTCTCTCTCTCTCTCACACACACACACACACACACACACACACACACACACACACACACACACACACACACACACACACACACACACACACACACACACACCTTCTCTCTCTCTTTACCTTCCTGTTTTGTTTGTTTTGGTAATTTTTTTGGCGCTTGAAACTGCATAATATTATGAGAGTGCCTGGTTTCATTTAGTTGTTTTCGCTTTAGTTCATAGCACGCCCTGATTTTACTTTTTATAGTCGGAATGATTTTTAAGCAGTTTAAAAAATTCATCGCAACATTTTTTTGTTAATTGATCTGAGCTTATAATAATTCACATCATGTTTAAAATATCATATTAAAAACTTGCTTTTTTAAATTTTGCCCCTTTTACGGGTGCCAGTTGTTTGTAACGTTTACGACTTAATATGTGAAAATTGTGAAATGGTATAGGTTTAACACCCTTATCGACACTCTGATGTTATTTAAGAGGCCTAACCTCCGAGTTTAACGGTCATCTAGGAAAGGACCGAGCCAAATGGGAAATTCGTGTAAAGTGCCTTTCCCAAGGACACAACGTCGGACCGATCTGATGCTTGAACCGCTTATTAATATGTGTCAGTCAGGGCAATTGTGATGATGATGATGATGATGATGATGATGATGATGATGATGATGATGATGAGGAGGAGGAGGAGGAGGAGGAGGAGGAGGAGGAGGAGGATATAACAGAGTGGATAAAGTAACGCAGTCGAGAATCTGTTAAATTGATGATGATGATGATGATGTTGTTGTTTTGTTAGCCGTTTAGTTTCGATTTTAGCGCCTACTCTAGACCCCTCACCCCACCCCCCGCTGTCTTAGTTAGGGGTAGGACACATTCAAGGCATTCAAAAAGAAATCCCTTAGTTCCGGTATCCTCGTACACATCCTCCATTCCCTCTCCTCGCATAGAGTGACCAAATTTTGAAACTTGGCCGCATCACTTCCCTCACTCTTGATAAAGGTTTGCCGACACATCACATGGGGACCGCTTCTTGTTGAGGACTGTGTTAGTGTTATTAATCCTACCCTGAACTGTCATTGGTACAACAATAAATAATGATTATGACAGCCAAGTTATTGTAGGGTATATTCATTACAGGTGAGGTCACACATTTTGAGTCTCTTCCAAGACATCGCTATCGCAATCGGTCCTTGATCCCGAGGCCCTAAAATAGCAATACATTGTATACATTTTAGAGTTAAGACCAAAAGTCTTTATAAAAATCACTTATTCTGCCGTCGGGATTTACAAAGGAGAAGCATAATAGTACTATTCTTCCCATTAGTGCGTTTACATTATTTTCTTCTGGTTTCTCCACAGTCTCGTCATTCTACATGCATTAGCATGTTCCTGGCCGTAAGGTCGGCATCGCATCCGACACAAAAGGGCTTCTCAAGTCCCTGCAGATATCTATGGACCAGGGAAAAGTGTCCAATACGTAATTTAAGTACGAGGGCTGTCCCACGGAAAACCGGAATTTGGCTGTCATTTGAAAGCTTGGGCATTATATTGTGCATTTACCCCAATAAGAGGGACACGGATTCCTTATACGGGGTGCCCACCACGGCTGGATCGGGCCGATCCCGTCCGTAGTCGGCACCCCGTATTAACCGAAAGGTCGACCTGCTCGTTTCCTCGGATGATTACACGTCTGGATAGCCATGCAAATGTATTTTTTTCACTGTTCAGTCATGGAATGAATCCTTAACCCTTTTAGGGTCTGAGAGTTTAAAATAGGTGAGTGATAGGAGGCAAAACAAGGAGTCTGACGCAATTGAGTGAGTATATGGTTTACCGCCTTTTTCAAAACACTGTTAGTGTTGTGGCGTCAGTGGCCTAGTGGTTAGGCTCTCGGACTCGCAACCGTAAGGTCGTGGGTTCGAATCCTGTCAGGGACCTGACGTTGTGTCCTTGGGAAAGGCACTTTACATGAATTTTCCTCACTTCACCCAGGTGGGAATGGGTACCCGGCTATAGACAGCGAAAGATCTTGTCAGTTTGTTAGTGTTTGAGCGCTTAATCGGCTGCTTGCACTGTATGCTTCCCGGGAAGCTGAGAATGTTTCGGAGTGTTCTATGGTCTGCTGGGGTAATAATATAGACGTGTAAAGTGCATAGAGCCTGCTGTTGAGCGGGGATATGCGCTATACAAATGCTATCTATTATTATTATAGCTATTTAAAAGGCAGGCGGAACCTCCGAATTTCAGCTCGTCTCCGATACGACCGAGCCAAATGGGTTGAGAGCATAACGAGTTTTAATAGTATTTAAGCAAGCTATGGCTGACAGCCTTGAAAACTCCACAAGACGACCTGAGTTCATGAACCCCCAGTGTGGGATCCGAACCAAAGCCACCCACTCTGTAGTCCAGCATGGTGCCAACTGAGCCAAAGAAGCACCCTGGCAGAATTAGAAAAGACGATTCCGGAGCGTTTTTTACAGAGTCAAATTGTCATGATAATGGCAGTGGCCTCTGCCTAACCTCGTTGCTTGTGCCGAAAAAAATGGAGTCCTCAGGATGAAGTCTCCTCTGATGACTGTTGTTTGTGGATAGGACTTCGGCGCCTAGATCTGAGTCCGATTTAGATAATTCAGTGAAAATTCTCTTTGCACCGGGGCATCAGTGTCTGTGGTGCAGCGGTTAGACGCCTCGTTGTCTTACGCAGTAGACTTAGTTTGATTCCCGAGTGTGTGTGTGAGTGTGTTTGTGTGTGTTTGTGTGTGTGTGTGTGTGTGTGTGTGTGTGTGTGTGTGTGTGTGTGTGTGTGTGTGTGTGTGAGAGAGAGAGAGAGAGAGAGAGAGAGAGAGGGGGGGGGGGCATTTATTGGGTATTTCTGTCCTTCAACTAGGGTGTTGTAGCAATCTGAGGCCTGGCTGGCTCTAAATTAACCTGACAGCCAGGATCGGAAGCCCTCCTTCTAAAATTTAATTATCTAAATTGTGACAGCGGGTGCGTAGAAAAACCAATATTTAATAAAGAAATTATTAGACTTGTGATCACTTGTGTGTCTCTCACAACATCATCACAGATCACATTTATCTCTCACATCATCGGTACAGGACATGTTTATCTCTCAATTCATCGGTACAGGACATGTTTATCTCTCACATCATTACAGGACATGTTTATCTCTCACATCATTACAGGACATGTTTATCTCTCACATCATTACAGGACATATTTATCTCTCACAGTATCATCACAGGACACGTTTATCTCTCACACCATCAAGTTGCTTTCAACAGGAAGATTGGAAAGTATTATGTTGTCAACTCCATACACCATGTTAACAAAATAATACACTGTACCCGTGCTCTACTTTCCTGCAATCTATCTCTATGTTGAGAAGGTATTGATTATTTTTAAAAAACCTAAATGTACTAGAATCTAGGAAATACACGCCATGTTTACCCGACTGAAATTTTATTGTGACTTTAACTGGACACCATTTGCAGTGTAATCAAATTTAAATAGTGAACTGAAGATAACAGATGGCGGGTGACA